CTTCCTCTTTAGTTGATTTCAGTGGATTTACAATAATTTGGGGAGGGAAATGCAGAAAATGGTAGTTTATAGTAGAAAATCTGAGTTTCATTGCCTTGATTTTTCTGTATTCCTCAATGGTTGTTCTTTTCATTCAACACTTATTCATAAAAATTAATGCAGTCTCTGCTAAACCCACAGAACTGTGCTACATGCTTGCAGAAAAAGCTAAAACTTACCAAAGGTGGTTGCTCTCCTCTCGGTGCTTACTGAAGGCATAAGACCCAGGTGTTACTAACGAATGACTATCCTCTGCCTTAGCTCAGTTACTCTCCAGTAGTATGTTTGATGGGATAATTTCTTGTATTGCATTCTCAGACCTACTGACCCTATCTTTCTAGGTCACTTCCTCTAATACTCCAACTCCAACAATTCTTCAAACTCACCAGGACTTACAGTCCACCTGTCACTGTCCTGAGGTCTTTACTGGCCCACACACTCAGCTTACATTCCATGGCCCGTCACCAACAATTGCTTACTTGCATTCACTGTCTCTATTCACATTCCCATGTCTCTTTTCCTTCACGCATCTGCCTTGTACAACCCTGCTTAAATTCAATTGCCCTCTTCCTCTGCACCCCAGTAGTTGACTGTGGCCACAGATAATCTCCACAACCACACTAACAGTCCTATTTGAACTCATGACTCCCAGCCTCAGTGGGCTCTCAGAACTGCTGATAATCCTTCTATATTGTTGAGATCCTTTCAATCCTTTACTTTTTTAGATACATATTTTACATGTTGTTTTTCTCTCTTCAGATCACCAGCACCTTCTCTATCCTACCTTATTTAATTTAATTTCTAAAGAAATTCTCAGGTAAGAACTTCCCTATTCTATCAAATCCCACTTCTCCCAACTAAGTATATCTAAACATAAATGCCTGCTTTCCTTCTTGTTCTTGTTGATCTAGTTGGATGACTAAAGTCCAACTCTTCCACTGTGCACTTGATCCCCCTAGATCCCCACTGTCCACAAATATTTATCTAGCAATTATCTCTTCTCTTCCCTGATCAACAGTATTTCTTTTTCTATTGAGTTATTTTCAATAGCATATAAACATGCTAAATTATCATCTGTCTTACAAAAATTAAGTAAAACCTCCTTGAGCTCATGTTCCCCTATAGATACTGCTCCCTTTATGACAAATCTCCTTGAATGAGCCTGATAGACTCTGTTAGTCCAATGCTTCTCTCTCCTTAATCTTTCTTTCTTTCTTTCTTTTTTTTTTTGCTTTCCTCAGTAGGCTTTTATTTTAAGAGGAAAATAGAGGCATGATAAAGTTCAAGTACAATATGATAAACATTAAGAATACATAGATTTTGTTTTTTTAATTTTAATTTTTATATTCCCCATACAATTGCATCCCCCTTTATTTTGACCCCAATCCCTTCTTTCCCTGCCCCCCCCATAGTGTCTCTGGTTTATAGTTGTTTGTTGATTTTGATTTTTTCTTTCTTATAGTTATTCTTTTTCCTGGTCCCTTATTTAGGTTTTCTAGATTCCTGCTATGAGTGAGACCATCTGGTGTTTTTCTTTTTCTTTCTGGCTTATTTAGCTGAGCATGATCCCTTCCAGCTCCATCCATGTTGCTGCAAATTGCACGAGTTTATCTTTCTTGATTGCTGAGTAAAATTCCATTATGTATATGGAAAGCTGTGTGGAGTTTCCTCAACCTACTAAAGATAGAGCTTCCATATGATCCAGCAATTCCACTCCTAGGTATTTACCCAAAGGACTCCTTAGTCTTTCTTAAATACACTCCAGTCAGGATTTCATTCTCAAAATTGCTCCCCCAAACTGCTTTTATTCAGATCTTTAGAGACCTCCACATTGCCAAGTCCCATGGCTCAACCTTAGTCATCATCTTATTCAACATGTCGACAACATTTCACACAGTTGCTTACTTTTTCCTTCATCACTTTCATGACTCGGCATCCAGAACATCACTCTCTATTGCCTCACTGGTGCTTTCTCTGACTCCTTTCCTTGTCATTCCTTGTCATTTCCTTGTCTTCCTTGTCATTTCCTTGTCTTCTAAAGTCCTGAACATTCTCTCAGTTATCTCCAGTCTCATAGCTTAAAATTTTATTTTTATGCTTTTGACTCACAAGGTTTTATTACAAGCCTAGATTTCTCCTTTCAACTCAAAATATACATTTGGAGGGGACAGTAGACAGCTCAACTCAATAGGTGTTTAAATAAATGTGATTCTTGCTCTACTCCAAACCGATTCCTTCCAATACCTCTGTCTTCCCAGTTGTCTAGACCAAAGACCTTGGAATCATCCTTGACTTACTTCCCTTCCCTTCCCTTCCCTTCCCTTCCCTTCCCTTCCCTTCCCTTCCCTTCCCTTCCCTTCCCTTCCCTTCCCTTCCCTTCCCTTCCCTTCCCTTCCCTTCCCTTCCTCCCTCCTTCCCCTCTCTTTTCCCCTTCCTCTGTCTTTTTTCACAACACATTCTCAATCTATCAAAAATTCTTTTCTTATTCTTTCTTAAAAAAGAAAATATTCTTTTCGCGACCTCCATTACTACCATCTTGTCTAAGCTACCATTGTCTCTCACCTCTCATTGCAAAAGTCCTTTAACTTTGTTTCTCCTTCTGTCTTCATGTCTCTGAAATCTATTTTCAACACAGCATATGGAATTAACCTTCAAAAAAACTAAGCAAAAATAGTATAACTTTTTTGCTCAAAACCCTCCATTGGGTTCCCAAATCATTTAGAGTAAAAATCAAAATCCTTCCCATCACCTACCAGATCCTACCTTTTGTGATCTCATTTCCCACCACTCTGTCTCTTGAATGCTCTCCTCAGTCACACTAGTGTCTTTTTTAGAAGAAACTGAACTTTCTCCTACCTCAGGGACTTTGCACTAGCTATACCCTTTACCCTGAAATTTTATCCCACAGATTCCTCATGACTCATTCCCTCTACTCTAGTATCATTTTAGTGAGACCTTTCTTGACCACCTGATATAAAATGGTATCCTCCTGTTCTAGCACTCCCTTTTTTCTTCATTGCACTTCCATTACATGGCTTGCTACATATTTTACTGTCTCTCCTCCTACTATAATATGAGTTCAGTGAAATCAGAGACTCTTTACAGTTATATTTCCAGCACTTAGAATGGTGCATGGTATTGAGTAGATATTACAGAAATATTTGTGGAATGAATGAGTAAATTTAAAAAATCAACATCTTGGGGCCTCCCCGGTGGCGCATCAGTTGAAGCTGCCCATATCCTCTGCAGCACTGGTTCAATCCCCGGCTGCCGGGTAAGCGTCCCACATGGGGCGCAGACCTCAGTCTGCCTGTTCTGTTCTCTGTTCTGGCTTTGGTGAATTCTCTCACCCTCCTGCACTTCTGACTGTTCCCTAGTATCTGTATAAATAAATAAATAAATCTTTAAAAAAAGTCAACATCTTTAGCCTCTACAGTTGTTTCAGAGATGGTAACGTATCACAGGCTAAAGTCAGAGAAGGCCTTGAGTACTACGCTATGGCATGGTTAGAGATTTGGGAGACTTAGAAGAAAACACTCAGGTGAAGGAACAGGTTAAAAAGTAGAAGCTGAATTCCTGTTATGAGTGAGACCATCTGTTATTTTTCTTTCTGGCTTATTTTACTGAGTGTGATCGCATCCAGCTCCATCCATGTTGCTGCAAATTGCATGGGTTTATCTTTTTTGATTGCTGAGTAACATTCCATTGTGTATATGTACCACATCTACTTGATCCAACCTAAATAAGGGACCAGGAAAAAGACTATTATAATAAAGTAAAAATCAAAATCAACAAGCAACTATAAACCAGAGACACACTACAGGGGGAGGAGAGGGGGGAGTAGGATCAAAACAAGGGGGGTGGGAATTGTATGGGGACTATAACCAAGATGAAAATGCATACGTTGTGCAAAAAATGAAAAATGATGTAAAAACATAAAATTAAAATAATAATAATAATAAATAAAATAAAAAAGTAGAAGTTGAAGCAAGAGAACTCCAACAGCATTTATTGAGTACCTATAACATGCTAAGTACTTCACACTCATTGTATCATATTACCTTCATGATTACCATAGCAGAGAGATATCATCACATTCACTATACAAACAAGGAAATTTTATTTCAGGAATACTTTAAAAGTAGCTTTCTGGGAAATCTATAACAAGTAAGTGGCAAGCCATTTTTATTTAACTGAATCCAGAACCCATTCTTTTTCTGTTTGTGTGTTGTTGTTGTTTTTTTTATCATCCCTATGATTAGTGTTATTTAAGTTCATGAACTTTACCAATCATGCTCCCTCCCACACCGTAAGATGAAAGATGGCCATTGTTGGTGTCCAAATAAGTGACACATTAGGAAACAGTCAAACTAATAAATGTATTCTCACATTCTTCTTATTAACCTAATGAGATTAAACCTCTCTGGACTTACATTGGTGGCAGCATGAACTTCCAGCACTGTGGCCAGCATTACCAATCCATATCTCTGCTGGTCATCCCAGCATGAAGCATCTGTTTGTTTATTTCTTTGCTGTGCCTGCATAGCAGATTTCATCCTTGGAAAATAAACTTCAAGTTTAAAACTGAAATCTTTATTCCTGTCTGGAAAATTGGAGATATCCTTAACAATTTGAAAGGAAGTGATGCTTCTGCTGCCATCAGCTACAAAGTGGTGGACGCCCACGGTGCTATTTATCAGATTTACATAGATTCCAGGTGAATCTGATCCAGTGGCTCCAAAGAGTGAGTATTAAGCTAATTGTTATTCTATTCCCTCCAGAATGCCTTTGATTTGGAAAAAAACAATTAAATTTGAATAGAGTCAGAAATTAAAATGAGTTTTTGTTCACCACTGAAATTCATGAGAATATGGGGAGAGGAGAAAGGAAAATTTTTGACATTTTTTCCAAAATCCCTTGCCTTCACAATAAAGTGGGAAACCCCATATATTGGTCCGTTTTGCTGTGGAAACAAACTCCAAATTACAGTTAAAACAAAAGTTTATTTCTTATTCATGTTATATGTTAGTTATGGGTCACTGTGTGGTCAACTTTTGGTCTGCTCCATAGGTCATCTTCATTCCAGAATTCAGCTAAAGAAGCAGTTCTTCTGTGGGATAAGCAATCTGGGGGCAGTGGGAAAAAAAGAATTGTTGACAACTAAGGATGGCCCTTAAGTCATCAACTTATCATGGCACATCTCATTCAGGTGTCATGACCAAAGTAACTGACATAACTGAGCTCAATGTCAATGGGGCAAAAATGTATATACTCCTCCTGCAGGAGGCACTGAAAGTCCCATAGCAATGTCTGGAGTTGTGAAGAGATGAGGACCATATTCTGTTGGTTACACAACATAGACCAGCCGTGTGTGTGTGTGTGTGTGTGTGTGTGTGTGTGTGTGTGTTCCCTACCTCCTTCCTTTCAATAAGACACTGTGGGCGCCATGTCTTCATAGTCACCTTGTTTCACTTGTCAACGACTGCTGTGTTGAGAAGTAATGTTCCCTTTCCTCTTTTTCACTGTAGCCTCATCTTCTCACAATTGATATTCCATGTGAGGTGCTTGCCCATGGCTGATCAATAAGAGGTGTGAGGGTGAAAGAATGGGCCACAAGAGAAGTATGGTGAAGCACCAGAAGGAGAAAGTGGTTTTAACTAGAGAATCTGTTAAACAATCTGTTGATTGTTTGTTTTGTGATCTTGAGAGAGTCACTTGATTTCACTGTCTTTTCAATGTTCCTATTTAAAAAAAGAAAAGAAAAAGACAAAAAGGAAGAAAAAAGATATAAGAACATTATATTAGCACTAGCATGTGAAATGAGTATCATGATAGTATGTTTCATGCTTTAAGCAATGCTACAAGAATCTCTCATTCTAGAACTGATCATTGACATTGGTGTCATTACCCAAGTGGTTTAAATGTGTCTCCAGTTTGGAATGGGCCCTTGGTTCCCAGCCTACTTCCTCAGTCTCATCCCATCTGTTTACCCTTGGGCCTTAATAAATCCATGAATTAAATAGGTGTGCCAAACTTGATGACTCCTATTCTGTGTCAGATTGACTTATAATCCAATCTTTCTGGTTCCAGGGCAGTAAGCCACTCGTAACAAGGAAGTTCAGACAGTACTTACAGGCTCCTGACCCTCCAGGTCACTTATGTGAGAGTTATCCACTTATGCTCAAGATATGAAATGCTTTTGATCAATTTCAAAGACACTCTTCTTTTTTACTCAATAAATGTACAGTATTTTATGAAAGAAATATAGAAGTTTTTTTGCATGGGTAGACATTGTATATAATATTTTGTTCTTCTATCCTGAGTATTGAGAGAAGATAAATTTTATCAGAATTCATGGAATTGAAAGATATCTATTTTCAACATCTCTCTTTTCCTCATAGCAATTGCATTACTCCAGAGAACAGACTGATGGTTTCTTTCTCTCTCTCTCTCTCTCTCTCGCTCACCTTTCTATCAATAGACATTTATCCATTTATCCATATTTATAGATATATAAGTTGGCAGATAGATACCTAGATAGATAGATTTATTATAAGAAATTGGCTCACACAATTGTGGAGACTTGGTGAGACCAAAATCTGATGGAGTAGGCTTGCAGACTGGAGACTCAGAGAAGAGTTACAGTTGAAATCCAAAAATAGTCTGTTGGCAGAATTTCTTCTTGCTTAGGGGAAAAGTCAATCTTTGTTTTATTAAGGCCTTTAACTGATTGGGTGAGAACCACTCCCACTATTGAGAGTAAACTCCTTTACTCAAAGTTCACCAATTTAAATAAAACCTTATCCAAAAACACCTTCAAAGATTCTTCCAGAATAATGTTTAAGCAAATAAATACCTGGGGGCCATTGTCACATCAAATCAACATATAAAATTAGCTAGCACAGTAATATAAAACAGAAAACAGCCCACCGACATGAGCAGGAAAATCGGAGAACATGGGAATGAAAAGAATGCTTTGAGAACATTGAGTCTGCCCTCTCCTGTCTTGCGGATACAGAAACTGAGAGATAGAGATTATACATCTAATTGCAACTTACAATTAAACCCGCATATCCTTTTTTTTTTTTTTCAAAGATTTATTTATTTATGCACACAAGAACTGGCGTTCAGGCCAGAGGTGTGGGGGATGAGAGGATTCACCAGAGACAGAGTGGGGAGCAGAAAAGTCAAATCTACTGAAATACACTGCTGAGGGGAGCAGCGGGCGAGACAGGAGAGGTCTGCTCCACCATGTGGATATCACCCTGGCCAGGGATCGAACTTGTGTTCAGTGGCTGCGGATAGCTTCATAGGTTACTTCTTAACCCCTTGAGCCACCAGGGAGGCCTCCTTCTTTTTTTCAAAAAAGCAATTGAACCACTGTATAAGAACTACAGTGTTTTTTAAAAACTGAGGTATAATTAACATGTAACACTATATGTGCTTCAAGTGTACAACATGATTTGATATTGGTATATATTGTGAAATGATCACCACAGGAAGTCTAGTTAACATTGGTACTCAAGTTTCCCTCTTAACACAATGTATAAAAAGGTAACTTGAGATAATCACAACATAAGAGGGTTAAGACATTCATCTTGGAATGTTTTAGTGGGCACAGAAGCCTGGACTCTACCCCTGCCAGGAAACAATCCAGGTAGATCTAGATGATTAGGAGCAGAGTTCTTACATATGAATAAAGCTAAATTGGTGTTAATTCAACCTAATGTAATTGACTTTTTCTAAGGTACTCAAGCCATTCATAGAAAAAGGCAGTGAGTGAGGTCCAGGGCAGCACGCATTTGTTCTAAATGTGTAAGAAAAAATATATGCTTCAATGGAAAACTATGTTTTGTCTAAAGGACAAACTTCTGGGTTGATTTAGATTTCATGGAACTATTTTACTTCTAAATTGTAGATAACTGGAAGCAATACAAACTAATTCTCGTGCATAAATATGCAAAGAAACTCTTCTCCCCACTCCAGGTAAAAGGCAATTTTGCCTCCATTTCCACATTCATTTCAACAATCCTTTACTCCATATAAATTTGAAATATAAATCTGAGCTTCTTTAATTCCCTTTAATCTAGTTATCAGCCTGCTTCTCTCACTTAACAAATAAAATGTTTAACATGTTCATTTTGCATCTCTATGAGAGTCGTGGTTTTGCCTCTTTGGGGTGAAAATTATCCTTTAATGAATGTCCTGTCTTTTTCAGCACATACAAAGGATACTCTGCTGAAGTGAAATCGATCCTCTGCACAGGAGACATTTAGCTCTATTCTGTTCTAAATCCTCACATTAAAATAAAATGTTTTGTTAGGTTTTCACAGGTGTGTTGCTTTGAAATGTGGGGAAAAATACAAGTGGAAATAGAGATTCTGATAGCAAAAGAAAATAGGTTTGGGAAGAGACTAGAGGTTTCATAAAATTTAGTAGCCTGGAAAAATTTAGGATCTGGAAAACTAGACTGTGATGTGGGAAGTTGCATGGAGTAGAACAGCATAAGCATGTCTCAAAGCAATTGCCTCTGAGGCCAACCCAAATCACCAGCTAGCCTAGAAGAAACCTTTTTTACTCTACCCCCACATTCCACATAAACTCTTAAAAGAGGATATCAGCAAATGTTTTGGGCTCAGTTCATCTTGGGAATGTTTCAGTGGGCTCCGAAGCCTGGACTCTGCTCCTGCTAGTAAACAGCCTGGACAGATCTGGATGAGAAATTCTCAAGAAGACAAAAAAGTGACTGAGAAAAGGGCTCAAGCAATCCCAGTTCCCACATCTCCTCATCCTCCTTGACTCCCTCTGCAGCTTGGATCCCCCAAAGTTTTATGTGCAGGTGGGCACAAGGGGAAGAAGCGAGGGAGAAGTGTAGGGCACACCTCCCTAGCCAAACCCAGGAAGCGCACCTCTGTCTCCTCCCGAGGGCCCGCATGGCTTCCACATGGTCTCTGCTATCAGTCTGCCTGCTGTGTTTACCCCTGCCAGGTCACCACACTCCCAGCTTCTCAGTGACCTTGTTGGATGTCTGTGCCATGCCTACGACTTCTCCTAAGGATGCCTTTCCCATCAGCTCCATTACTTGTTGGACTACTTGCTTGCGGGTCCTGCTTTTCATTCTTCCCAGACAGTAGAACTTTCATTTGGCTCCAGAGGAAGCCTGATTCCTTAGCTCCTCACCATCTCTCTGATGAGGAATATGGGAAAAGCTCCTAGGGGTTGAGCCACACTTTACCTTTGCTACTGTGTCTTTCACAGCGACATACTTAGTTGAAATACTCATCATCTCTTTTCTAGGGCACACAAGCCTGTCCTGCGTAGACTGTATGAGATTGATGAAACAAATTGACTGCAAAATTCTAATGGTGTAACACAATCAAAATTTATTTCTAGGAACAGGTTGCCAGGGCCACTCTCCCTGATAGAGTCTTTCAGAGAAAGTGAGTAATGAAGACTTGTCTGTTTAACATGTGGATCCCAAGGGCTCTGTGGGCATTGACACTGCAGCTTGAAAGAGAAATTAAAGTGGAAAAAAGTGTATGGGAGTCCTTTATGGGCCAGGCCTGGAAATGATACACTTCCTTCCTGTCTGCTCTCACTCCGCCGGAATAAGCACAGACACTCGGCCACCCTGCTAAGGACTTTGGGGAGGAATACCAAGCATGTGCCCAAAGAAAGGGAGAGTGAGTTTAGGGGACCACTATTGCTTCCACTACAGGTCCCCCTGCCTCCAGTCTTATTCCCCTCTGCCCCTTTGCAGTCACTGTGGCAGAGTCTCAGGGCTGGTGAACTGTGGAGGCAGCACCAGGCCCATGCTTGTCAGAATCCTAGGCCTTGTGCTTCCACAACATCCTTCAGCTTGCTGTGGCAGCTTCTCCCATTCCATCTTCACCTTTCATTCATTGCCTTCTCCTCTTTAGGCCTCTCCATATTCTCTAGAGTGGGGAGGAATACTCTCTCCTCCTTTCTTTTCTTTTCTTTTTTGATTCACCAGTGACAGAGTGGGGAACAGAACAGGCAGATTGACTGAAATACACTGCTGAGGGGAGCAGGGGGTGAGTCAGGAGAGGTCTGCTGCACCACGTGGGTAGCTCCCTGGCCAGGAATCGAACTCTCCCTGCAGTGGCTGCGGACAGCTTCATAGGTTGTGTCTTAACCCCTTGTGCCACCAGAGAGGCTCTCTCTCCTCCTTTCTTTACCTAACTTAAACCTTGGTGCGAGCATGAAAAATCTTACCTTCTTTACCACTTCACAACTGTTCCACTTTGCTCCCTTCCACAGGTCTCTTTCTACTGTTTTACCTCTGTGCTGTCAGCTCTGAAAATCCCAAAATTGTTATTGACCACTTGAGGCAATGTTTCTCTCTCCCCATGGCGACTGACGGAAGGCCATCCCCTGTGTGTTCCAGGCTCGGTGCTCCTGTCCTGCTGCTGGTTTCACTCCTTCCTAACCTCTAGTCTATTGGTCTATATGTGACAAGGCTAGTTCAGAGTTCATGTGGGTGGGAAAGAAGACTCTGCCTCTTGATGGAAGGATTGGTAAGGAATTTGTGATCATCTCTAATCCCTCATAGATATAATAAAAATGAACAATAATAAACATTTTCATCATGCTCTAGAATTATGATATTTTTGTAAACATTATCTCATTTAAAGAAGTTAGACTTTATTTTTACTCCAGGTTTTCCCAAGTGGGCAAAAAAACATGGTGTGGTGGAGTTAAGTGATTTGCCCACTACCACGTGTGTAGGAAGTGACAGAACAGGGGTCTTGTATCAGGTTTCCCTCCAGTCGTTGATTTCATGCTTTCCCACTGCTTCTCATTGCCTAGTTCCAGCTCTGGGGGGGCATAGATAGGTTTCCTTTAATTTTCCATTTGAATTAATTTGGGCAACCCCAAATAAGAATGCTAGATAGTAAGAGAAAGTTGAAGAGTTATGAAAAAGAGACTGAAGATATAGGTGGACTGAAACATATACTTATGATCCTAAATTTTGACTCTAGGCTTTACTGAAACTATGTTGACTACATTAAAGCAAGAGACAAAACCCCAATAGAGTTGTTAACCACTGTAGGGTATGAATGTGGTTTACAGTTATCCAAGAAACACCTTTCAATGGTGGAATCCCAGGAGAAGGATGGAATTGGGCAAGATTTCATTGAACAGATAACCTGAAAGTTTAGGTATAAGTGTATAAATCTCCATGTGTTTCTCTAACATAACATCTTAGTGCCTTGGAAGGACCACACTAGCCACTTTCACTGGCAGTGAGAAAAAAAGGAAGATATAATGGAGCTGTGACCAAAGGGAAGGAGGTCAAGATGGCGCCATGACTTCAAGAAGCCCAGGTCTGTCTCATCAGGAAGTTCTCTGCCATCCCCCCAGCAACAGTGAGGCCATAGTCTGGCAAAGGGGCTGCCCCAGATAGCCAGGCAGGCTGTTCTGCTGATGGGCACCGGCTGACCGACAAGTGCAGTGAAATCCAGCCTGCCCTCCACTTTCCAATCATGCACTGTGGACAGACTGTCCACTTGTGGGGACAGGAACAGTTTACCATTTAATTCAAGGCACGTCTCTGCTCGTCATGTACTTGGAGGGTGCTTTCCCCTAATTTGTTATGACGACACTTATTGTGCTGGGGGGGGTCTTGCCCCAGCAGCCAACGAACTGCTTAATGTAGAGTGGACTTAATTCCATATGTTAACCAGTCCAGCGTTGCTCTTTTCAAAATCTGTCATTTGGATTCCAACTCCCATAGTGGCCTCAAGTGAAACCCAGACCTCAAGTGAAACCCAGACCTGCCTGGTGGTGTTCCACAGGCTGCTTGGACAGGCCACTGAGCTTCTCTGTTCCTCCAGTTCTTATTTTTGAAATGGGGGAACTGGACCAGGTGACACTGATGTCCCTTCCCAGGTGTAACTTGCTGTGGCTTAAAATTCTGTGATTGGGAGTAAGTGGGTCAGACTTGCAAATTCAGTCTGGGCTTTTCTCTGGATAACTCTATATTTCTGCTGCCCATCTTGTTAGTCCTGACTAATGCTGTAATCTGAGGACTAGTGGTATCAAGAGAAAAAAAGTTCCAGCTTCAGATAAGGAAAAGACTAGTAAACACAATCAAATATTAAGTCTCCTCTTCTGTTCTTATCCAAACACACATGTGCATGCGTGCAACTGCACGAGCATGCACACACACACACATGCACACACACATACACACACAAGCGCATGCACAGGCTGAGTTTAGTGCAGAGCTTCCCTCATTTCAAAGCGTAGACAATATGTTAGAGTTTCCCAGATATAATCATTTAATGCACTCTCATTTATCTCTCTGAAACCCAGAAGCAACTAAATTGTAGAGAGTCTGGACCTGGGCATTTCTATTTACTTGTTTCCATAGACAATTTTTGACGAAGGTAGGTTCATATTAATAAAGGAGTTAATTTGCCTCCAGCCTTTCTCCTCACAGTAAACGCTATCCAAAAAACTCATAAATCATTCCACACTTCCTAGACTCATCTTTGTTACACAAAGGGAATGCTGCTGCTCTCTGAACCTTCTATTATCTACAATACACCCCATGCCTTTCCATTACTTATATTTTTCCTTAAGGTAAATGATTCCCCGGCTCTGGGAGGCAGCAGATAGCTATACGCGTCATTCCTTCTGCTGATGGTTTTGAAAAAGTGAGAGAGAAGAGTGGAGGTGGAGAGCCTGGGTGGAGAAAGCCTGACTTTGTTGAATTATAAAATGCATGAAAATGAGAGAAAGGGAAATTTGAGGGCAGGGGGAATAAAGGAATCGATTCATACTGATTTAATACTTACTAAGCACTGTATGAGCTCTGTTGCCTTCCAGAATGTCTATCTGGAAGTCCCACCGGCCTCTGATGATTAGCATTTCCCTTCTGCTGTGCAGACATGTCCTGCCTGTCCTCCATACTGGGGGAGGTACCATTATTTATTCTGGGAATTTCACATATCATCGCATTCATTCTTCATATCCACCCACAGGATAGAAGTGATCACTCAGTGAGAGCAGAAACAGGCTCAGAGAGGTCACGTGTGAGAGTCCGTTAGGGCTTCTGGAGCAAGAGAGCACACACTGGTGGCTTAGACAGCAGCAATGTATTTTCTTATGTTCTGGAGGCTTGAACGCCAAGGCCAAGTTGCCCTCCAGGTCAGCTTCTAGCCCTCTGCCTTGGCTTGCAGACGGCTGCCTGCTCACTATGCCCGCATAGAGCTTCTTCCTCTGTGCACTTGCCTCTTCCTCTTCTTACAGGGATACCAGTCTTATTGGAATAGGGTTGGCACATAAGACTTTCTTGACCTTAATCCCCTCTCTAAAGGGGATACAGACATATTCAACAGTACTGGGGGTTAGGACTACAACATGTGAATTTGGGGGGACACATTTCAGTTCACAACATGAAAGCACCCACCCAATATAACAAAGCCCCATGATCAGGTTCTTTCACTCCAATTCCAAAGCATCTTTATCTGCTTTCATTTTTTTTTAAGATTTATTTATTTATACAAGAGCTGGGGTACAGGCCAGAGATGCAGGGGAGTGAAAGGATTCACCAGATACAGAGCGGGGAGCAGAACAGGCAGATTGACCAAAAACACTGCTGAGGGGAGCAGTGGGCGAGATGGGAGAGGTCTACCACGCCATGTGGGTACCTCCCTGGCTGGTCGGGAATCGAACCTGTGCTGCAGAGGCTGCCAACAGCTTCACGGCACTGTGCTCAACACGCTGCGCCATGGGGGAGGCCCTTTATTTACTTTCATTTATTAACTTTTTAGAGTAGATAGGGTCAGAGAAGTAGGAGGATTCCAGAGTTCTGGCCATTCAGTGTAATAAGCATGTCGTACTGAATATAGTAGTAACCAATTATTCATATAACCTCCAATATTTATGAGTGCTTAATAAAAGTCAGGCACTTTTTTAAAGGTATATATCATATAAAAGTGAGCAAAAGGAGGCCAGATCTTTGCACATGTAGTGTATAATCAGAACATTAAATGTGTAATGAATGAAAAGGTACAACAAAGTGCAAACAAATGACCACTGTGGTCAGTACTATGGCAGATGCAGAGGTCAGGGTGTCAGGGAGGGAAGCAGGGAGGCAAGCCTGGTGGAGGAGGATGTTATGGGTGCCCTGGTGCTTTCCAGCTGCTGTGCTAGGGCTGCCTGCTGCTGCTGAGTCCCTCTGCAGGAATTGTCCTTGGTCAAAGAAAATCTCCTCACCCAAATTATCCTCTCCCATATCCACTGACTAATTGCCCTTGGCAGGAGGAGGTACTGGCCGTAAAGATCCGGCCTCTCCTTCTTTCCTCTTTGTGCTTAAGATGGCACAGGTTTGAGGGCCACCCCAGCTCCAGGGCTATCTTGGAATCAATCAGCTGAGCTGTCAGTTGCAATGCATCGCAGCAACTCTGCCTTCTGTTCCCCACAGCTGTCGATTCAAAGACACTCCCCAGTGAATTTACTTAATGCAAATCTTTATTTTGGATTCATTTTTCAGGGGGAACAGTCCTCATTTGTCAAGGGTCAGCATAACAAAATGCCACAGAATGGATGACTTAAATAACAGAATCTATTGCCTCACAGTTTGGGGGACTAGAAGCCGGAGATCAAGGTATTGGCAGGGTTGGTTTCTTGGAGATCCCTCTCCTTGGCTTGTAGATGGCTGTCTTCTTACGTCTTCATATCATCTTCTCTCTGCATGACTCTGTTCACATTTTCCCTTTTTATAAGGACACTAATAATGGATCAAGTTCCAACTGCATGACCTCATCGGAACTTGATCCCCTTTATTAAGAATTTCTCTCTAAATGAAGTCACACTTTGACGTGTTGGGGGTTAGGACGTCAGCATATGACTTAGCGAGGGGACAGAACTCAACGCAAATATACCTAACCCAAAGATTTTCTGGAGCATTTGAAGAATGGAATTGACAAGGTAAAAACAGAAGTAGTGGACCAGGGTGGTGAGAGGAAGGGAACATTATACAGAAAAGCAGGAAGGGAGAAGCAGGACACAGACCAGGAGGAGCGTGCGCTGCAGGGAAGGGCCTGACCATTTGTGCACAAGCCATTCACAGTCCAGCCCTGGAGAGTCCAAAACCCTGATTGCCAGGATACTACCCAGAATGCATTCTGGGGCTTGTCAAACAAAACATACTGTTCACTGTAGATGGCAGATTTGTTTCTGGGTGCATAACTGAGGAGAGAGCTGAGTTTGAGGAAGCTGAGTTTGAGGAGAGCTGGGCCAGAGGAAGTGAACCGTAGGTTGGAACCACAATATACCAAAGGGATATTTGCACCCAGAGGGTAAATAGAGTCAGCCAGGAATC